CATCTGCACCCCGGCGCTGCTGCAGGCTCTGGGCTGGCGGGGCTTGGGCCCATTGCGAACGCTGTGCCGCTCCAGCCGTGCGCCAGCGGAGGCGCACGCTGAGGCGGGCAGTTTTCTTTCTGGGGTCTCCTCTAATACTTGCCTTTTTCTTGACATTTTAAGGTTTCGTTTGACTTTGGTCATGTTGTATGCAACCGGCTGTTTGGTGGCTGACGCATGCTGCCCGCGCACCTGTCAGGAGACGGTGCCGAGCATCTTCCACGCCATGGCCGGCGCAGCCCAGCACGCCGCTGGCTTGGAGCCTGCGGAGCAGCTGCGCGTGGCGGGCTGTTTGCGGCAGAGGGCGCTGTGCGTCCTGGAGATTCTGCAGGCGCCGAGCTGCGCCGACATCGACGTCCGGGACATGTACGGGCGGGATGCCGGGCAGCTGTTCGAGCTTATGGCGCGGGAGCTGCAGGCCATGCCACCCGCGTCGGCTCAGATCCTCAGAGCTCGCAGGGCGCTGCAAGCTGCCCGCAGGGTGGAGGAGTTTCACTATGCCCAGGAGAATGTGCCCTACACAGTGGTGTCTGCAGCTGGGAGGTTGCGCCCAGCACGCCCTTTCTACATCACTGGGGAAGGAAGCGATGCGCCCGAGTCTGCCCAGTCGGATGATCTTGTGGCGCCCACGATGGATTCTGGGACGACGCTGGATGTGGCGCCCACCATTGGGTCTGGGACGATGCTGGATGTGGCCTCTTCTTCCTTCGGACCCTTTAGGCTGGAGGGAACGACGCAGACAGGCGCGGCCATGCGGAGCTCGAGCGGCGGGCCTGAGATCCTGGAGCGAGTCGAGGAGGAGGGGCTGGAGCTGGCCGGAGAGGATGAGGCTCGCGTTGCGGCAGCTCAGCACATTGCGCTGCAGCGGCAATACCTGCGTGCCAAAATCAGAACATGTCCGGCAGGGCATGACCTTCAGGAGCGGGAGAGGAGGACACCAAGCTGCGACCTTTGTGAGGAAAAGATTAAAGGGGTGACCTTGTGCTGTGTCCAGTGCGATTGGGACATATGCCAAGAGTGCGCTGGCCTGGCTGGCCTTCCCCGTGCTCGCGAGGCAGATGAGGACGTGCCCCAAAGGGCTGGCTGGTGGATGCTACAAAGGCAAAGTAGAATGCTGCGGGAGAAGGGCGACCTGCCCGGAGCTGCAGCTCTCTTGCAGGCAGCCCTGAAGCAACTGCGGCCAGGTCACCAGGATGTTGATGATCATGACGTGGCCGTAGTCTTGCACAATCTCGGCCAGTTGCTGCGGCAGATAGGAGACCTGCAGCGAGCCGAGCAGCACCTGAAGGAGGCTTTGAGGATGAAGACATCCGTCTATGGTGCCGACCACGTGAAGGTTGCAGTCACTTTGCATGAGCTGGGCATGCTGCTGAAGCAGCAAGGAGACCTGGACCAAGCCGAGCAGTGCTTCAAGGAGGCTTTGAGGATGAAGACATCCGTCTATGCTGGTGCCGACCACGTGAACATTGCAGTCACTTTGCATGAGCTGGGCATGCTGCTGAGGAAGAAAGGCGACCTCAACCAAGCCGAGGAGCAGCTGAAGGAGGCTTTGAGGATGATCACATCCGTCTATGCTGGTGCCGACCACGTGAACGTTGCAGACACTTTGCATGAGCTGGGCATGCTGCTGAAGCAGAAAGGAGACCTGGACCAAGCCGAGGAGTGCTTCAAGGAGGAGTTGAGGATGGAAAGGTCCGTCTATGCTGATGCCGACCACGTGAACGTTGCAGCCACTTTGCATGAGCTGGGCATGCTGCTGAAGCAGAAAGGAGACCTGGACCAAGCCGAGCAGTGCTTCAAGGAGGCTTTGAGGATGAAGACATCCGTCTATGCTGGTGCCGACCACGTGAACATTGCAGTCACTTTGCATGAGCTGGGCATGCTGCTGAAGCAGAAAGGCGACCTGGACCAAGCCGAGGAGCACCTCAAGGAGGCACTGAGGATGGAAAGGTCCGTCTATGCTGGTGTCGACCACGTGAACATTGCAGCCACTTTGCATGAGCTGGGCATGCTGCTGAAGCAGAAAGGCGACCTGGACCAAGCCGAGCAGTGCTTCAAGGAGGCTTTGAGGATGAAGACATCCGTCTATGCTGGTGTCGACCACGTGAACATTGCAGTCACTTTGCATGAGCTGGGCATGCTGCTGAAGCAGAAAGGCGACCTGGAGCAAGCCGAGGAGCAGCTGAAGGAGGCTTTGAGGATGAAGACATCCGTCTATGCTGGTGTCGACCACGTGAACGTTGCAGCCACTTTGCATGAGCTGGGCATGCTGCTGAAGCAGAAAGGCGACCTGGACCAAGCCGAGCAGTGCTTCAAGGAGGCTTTGAGGATGAAGACATCCGTCTATGCTGATGCCGACCACGTGAACGTTGCACTCACTTTGCATGAGCTGGGCATGCTGCTGAGGAAGAAAGGCGACCTCAACCAAGCCGAGGAGCACCTCAAGGAGGCTTTGAGGATGAAGACATCCGTCTATGCTGGTGTCGACCACGTGAACATTGCAGCCACTGTGCATGAGCTGGGCATGTTGCTGAAGCAGAAAGGCGACCTGGACCAAGCCGAGCAGTGCTTCAAGGAGGCTTTGAGGATGAAGACATCCGTCTATGCTGGTGTCGACCACGTGAACATTGCAGTCACTTTGCATGAGCTGGGCATGCTGCTGAGGAAGAAAGGCGACCTGGACCAAGCCGAGGAGTGCTTCAAGGAGGAGTTGAGGATGGAAAGGTCCGTCTATGCTGATGCCGACCACGTGAACGTTGCAGCCACTTTGCATGACCTGGGCATGCTGCTGAAGCAGAAAGGAGACCTGGACCAAGCCGAGCAGTGCTTCAAGGAGGCTTTGAGGATGAAGACATCCGTCTATGCTGGTGCCGACCGCGTGAACATTGCAGTCACTTTGCATGAGCTGGGCATGCTGCTGAAGCAGAAAGGCGACCTGGACCAAGCCGAGGAGCACCTCAAGGAGGCACTGAGGATGGAAAGGTCCGTCTATGCTGGTGTCGACCACGTGAACATTGCAGCCACTTTGCATGAGCTGGGCATGCTGCTGAAGCAGAAAGGCGACCTGGACCAAGCCGAGGAGCACCTCAAGCAGGCACTGAGGATGGAAAGGTCCGTCTATGCTGGTGCCGACCACGTGAACGTTGCAGCCACTTTGCATGAGCTGGGCATGCTGCTGAAGCAGAAAGGAGACCTGGACCAAGCCGAGGAGTGCTTCAAGGAGGAGTTAAGGATGGAAAGGTCCGTCTATGCTGATGCCGACCACGTGAACGTTGCACTCACTTTGCATGAGCTGGGCATGCTGCTGAAGCAGAAAGGAGACCTGGACCAAGCCGAGGAGTGCTTCAAGGAGGAGTTGAGGATGGAAAGGTCCGTCCATGCTGGTGCCGACCACGTGAATGTTGCAGTCACTTTGCATGCGCTGGGCATGCTGCTGAAGCAGAAAGGCGACCTCAACCAAGCCGAGGAGCACCTCAAGGAGGCTTTGAGGATGAAGACATCCGTCTATGCTGGTGTCGACCACGTGAACATTGCAGCCACTGTGCATGAGCTGGGCATGCTGCTGAAGCAGAAAGGCGACCTGGACCAAGCCGAGCAGTGCTTCAAGGAGGCTTTGAGGATGAAGACATCCGTCTATGCTGGTGTCGACCACGTGAACATTGCAGTCACTTTGCATGAGCTGGGCATGCTGCTGAGGAAGAAAGGCGACCTCAACCAAGCCGAGGAGCACCTCAAGGAGGCACTGAGGATGCTGGTGCCGACCACGTGAACGTTGCAGCCACTTTGCATGACCTGGGCATGCTGCTGAAGCAGAAAGGAGACCTGGACCAAGCCGAGGAGTGCTTCAAGGAGGAGTTGAGGATGGAAAGGTCCGTCCATGCTGGTGCCGACCGCGTGAATGTTGCAGTCACTTTGCATGAGCTGGGCATGCTGCTGAGGAAGAAAGGCGACCTGGAGCAAGCCGAGGAGCAGCTGAAGGAGGCTTTGAGGATGAAGACATCCGTCTATGCTGGTGCTGACCATGTGAACGTTGCAGACACTTTGCATGTGCTGGGCATGCTGCTGAAGCAGAAAGGCGACCTGGAGCAAGCCGAGGAGTGCTTCAAGGAGGAGTTGAGGATGGAAAGGTCCATCTATGCTGGTGCTGACCATGTGAATGTTGCAGCCACTTTGCATGAGCTGGGCATGCTGCTGAAGCAGAAAGGCGACCTGGAGCAAGCCGAGGAGCACCTGAAGGAGGCACTGAGGATGCAGAAATGCGTCTATGATGGTGCCGACCAGGAGTCAGTAGCAGTCACTTTGTATGCGCTTGGCATGTTGCTGCAGGAGAAGGGGGACGTGCAGCAAGCCGAGCACCTGAAGGCGCAATTGATGAGAAGTTGAAGCAGATATGGAGCGAAGAGGATGAATTTTATTCGACCAAGTGCTTTCCAAACTTAAAAGCCTGTGCATAGAATGCAGCGAGCGGCGCGGAATGAGTTCGCCCTGTAGCGCTTTGTCAGTGCTGAGGCGAGGTGTTTCGTGGAGACGCAGTGTCCAAGTAGAGCTGTTGCCCAAGGGTCTACTCCTGTACAGACAGTGTGACATGACCCTCGTTGCACGGCCCAGCTTGGACCTCGCCTCAGTGCCCGAACCACTTCCGGAGGTTTCGGGCGCTCAAGGATATGCGCGAGTCGCGCAAAAACGCCTACTTCTTTTTTTGGATGCTTTGAAGGAAACAAAACACAGGTCTTCAAAGAGCCTTGCACTGTTTTTGGTGGGTCCTTGAGACCACTGCAGCTCTTTGTGTTTCGAGGCAAACCGTTTCTATGTTTTTTCCTTCCAACTTTTGAAGGCTTCCAAGGCCCCGATTTCAATCGCCCCTCACGCGCCAAACAGGCAACTCGTCCCCTTGTTTCTAGGTTTGCAACCAGAGCCTCAAAGAAACAAAGCGCCCAACGGACCGCTTGACCGCTTTGCAGGTGGCCGGGTGGCCGCGTCGCCGCTTCGCGGGCTTCAAGCTCGGCTTTCACGAGAGGTGCGTTAGCGTGGATGTGAGCCGCTGGCGAGAAGTGGATGGGAAGTCAGGGTCGAGTGTCAGTGTTGTCCCATGAATTAAATTAGCTTGGCAGATGCTCCCCAAAGCTGATTTGGCCTGCGACGTGAGAATCAAACATGGATTTGCTATTCCTGGGCGAACGTTTTGTAAGTTGCCTGATGAAGGAAATTCATACCAGGTGAATCCAACAATCCTGGGTTGTTGTTGGTCCTTCAGTTGGCAACTAAATGTTTTGGGCCGGAATAAGCATAGTTTCAAGCGGGCAAGGCACATGTACCCGACAAGAGAGAGAGAGAGGGAGAGAGAGCGAGAGAGAGAGAGAGAGAGAGCGAGAGAGATACAGGGGACATTTGGCCATGGAGTTTCATGAGGAATTCGCTCAAACATAGTTGGCCCTATCGTAGATGATGTCGCCCACAAGGTCTCTAATGGACGTTCACACCCATGTGTCAAGTGTACCAATTTGATGCTTATGATGGGCTCAAAATGATGTATTTTTCCGTAGCGGAGAAAGATCGATTTAATGGGAAGCAAAATGTAGTTGCTGCTGTGTTGGGCTGAAACATTCAGGATATAAGCACAATGCTAGGTGACTTATGTCTTGTTGAATGGATGAGTCTGTTGATGTTGGTTGATGTTTGGTGACTTGGCGCAAAGGTGCCCTTTGCAAAGGACACCCTTTCAATTGAAAACCAAATGAACACCACAGAGGTTTTGCGGTCCACTACTTTTGAACACACTGAAATTGAGCACCAAAGCGAAGCTACCAATTTCGGGTTGATGGGTTAAACACCCCGCAGTCATTCAGAATGGAGACCCCCTGCAAGAAAGACATCCCCGCTAAAAGGGACCTTTGACAGTCAGTGTGGGCTGAATTTATGTGGGGTCGATATTATTTGATGTGTCGAGGTGTCCCTGCCTTTCTTGCATGTCTTCGCCGAGTCACACCTGTTGACAAGTGCCCGTGTTCTCGCTCATGAGTTCCTAAACTTTTTGTAGTGGCAAAATCCATGTTAGTGGCAATCACGCCAATCACAAAGTTTGGACTTTTTGGCCCGTCCACTCAAGAGGTGCTACAACCTGACATCAACTCCTGGCTTGTCCGTTCACCTGTTCCGGGGGCCAGCTTTGGTAGTGAGCATTGGGGACATGCATTCCAGCAGTTTGAGGGCCATGGCAGAAGGCTTCAGTGATTGGTGCTTCTCCATCCTTGATGTGGGTGGGTCTCAAGATTTGGTGTGGACTCCTAAAATGGCTCCCGGCTTTTGTTTCCACCTGAGCGGCGGTTTGTTTGGCCGCAAGCTAATTTAGTAGAGAGAGGGACATTATTATTGAAAATGCCCACCGCGCCACACGCGCGGAAGCATGCGGAAGGCTTCGCGGAAGGGATTTGTTCGCGGAAGGTTTGCGGAAGCTTTGTGGCTGATATGAAATTACATGTTTCAGTGCGTGCATGGAAAAGCACGGAGAAACGATTACAGTAGAAGAAAAGAGGTGCTGCCGCGTACAAGAAGCGCAACGCTTACTCGAAGAGCAGCAAGCCAAGAAGACCAAACCAGCCGGCGTATTTCGCGGAAGGTTTGCGGAAGCTTCGCGGAAGCTCCGCGGAAGGGTGGCCCCGTGTTTGCAGTGGCCACGTAGCATGGGTAGCCCAATGGAGCCCAGGCCTACACAGGCTGCGGCGAAACACTACCTTACTTAAAATGACTTTCCTTTCTGCGCCAATGCTCGCGGAAGCAAATGTTGCAAACCATGCGCCGCGGAAGGTTTGCGGAAGCAAACAATGAAACACATGTGCCGCGGAAGTTCGCGGAAGGGACCTCTGGGCCCGCGGCAAGGATGCGGAAGGGTCGGCGGAAGTTTGTAGGGAATACAAATCAACGCTCACCTGAAGGACAATTCAAAGAGACATCAACTTGAACGCCTCTGGCTCAGGCCGACAATACAGGCCTGCTTTCGACTACCCTTCGGAGTTGTCCCTTATCCTTCGCTGTGTCTGTTCCCGATGTTCCCGGACGTTTTCCTGTCCCTGCCAGGGCGGATTTCACGAAGGGCGGATTTCGCGGGGCCGCTGCCACGCCGTGCGCTGGGGAGCCAAGATAAGCCAAGACTCGGGCCCAGGCCCATTTGGCTCAACTGCAATACCTGTCACTATCCACATGTGGCAAGCCCGCATCGAAGAAAACGGAACACATGCAAATGGAGGGACTCCAACCCGGGGTCCGTGAGCCGTTTGTGCCAAACCTTGGGCTCCCTTGCCGGCTTCGACGCAAGCGGAGAAAGCATTGCGCGCGCAGCCGCCGCGGCATTCAGTCTCTCAAGCCGGAGTCTTCTTTCCAGCATGGCAGGCGGGAGATGCCATTCTTGTTTGAAAGATCATGTCGATGTGAGTTATTGTCTTTTTTTGAGTTGGCACCCAATGTTTGGTGCTTTTGAAGAAAGCCCAATGCCAAAACCACCATTTTAGGGGTCCCGTATTTCAACAACACGCCCATGCTCAGGATTCACGATATTTCAATCCAAACGGATTGAAACATCCACTTGTGGTGATTGAAATCGACTTTTTCCATTCGAGGTCATGTTTGAGGGGGGAAAAAAACCCGGCCCCCCCGGTCGAAGGATTTGTGTCGCGGACAGCGCCAGGCAACTGGACGGCGATCGCGCATGGACGCTATGTCCCAGAGGATCCCGAGTCGCGTTGCGTTGGACCCAGCCGTTTGCACTGCATGCGATGGCCACAGTCCGATTCCATTGGCGACTTGAATCTGCATGTGCTGTTCATGTTTTTGACCGATCAGTCCATGGCTTTATTGTTTTTCCGATTTTTTTTAACGCATATGTTTCATGTTTTGACCTGCCAGACGTGGCCAATATATGCAGTCGGTGTCAGGAGCCAAGCGCGGTCGGTGTTCGATTCCCTCGCCGCGTGACTACTTCAGGACGGGGCCCGGAGCCTTGCACCACGCGTTGGTGTCCCAACATGAGCCGCTTACGGTGGCGCATGGACAGGGCAGTGAGCTGCGGATTCCCTGAATGGGTGGAAGTTTTTCTTCAAATCTCACAAAGTCAGCAACATGGTGGCAGCATATGTAATTAATGTTCTTGGGAGTCGCCCGGATCTTGGTAGCACACACCCGAGTCCACGATGGGCCCCTGTCGAAACAGGGCGCTGCACCCGAGAGATTGACTTCAGTGCGAGCCCGTTGCTGTGAAGCGATGACATGACCCCAAAGAATGCCGATGTTGAATGGGGCTTGCCGTTGAACGTCTAGCATAAAAGCCCACCGGGATGCGTGGCCATTCGCGCCTCGCGCGGTGCCGGGAGGCCCGCGATCCCCTTCGGTTCTACACGGAAGCCACGAAGCCAACCTCGCAACGTCGATTTCTCAACTTGGCCAAGGAGGCAGCAACGGCGCCGAGTTCCAGGCGGGAAGGGGTCCGCTTCTGTCCGCTTCTCCCCCCGCCAGTGGCGAGAAGCTGCGCCGGGGCGGGCCGAGGCAGCGTCGACAGCGCCAAGCATCGTGCTGCTGACTCCTGCGGCTCTGTTGCAGGATGCCCTGGGCGGGTTTGGAGGTTGGGGTGAGTATTTTCATAGTGCCCAGCCCCATCAACCCAGACAATGCGTGTTCTGTGTTCTTTGGGGCACATCAGTCGGTCGCGTTGAGCAATCACTTTGGCAGATTGCGCAGACATGTTGCGTTGGATGCGGAATAACATGTCGCGCAGGTTAAGCACGAAAACTGTTTCCAAAGTGAGTTTCGTGGTTTGCCCCTCAAGCAACCATGTAAAGGTGCGGACCGCGGAAGCTTCGCGGAAGGGTTTTGTCGGCGGAAGCTCGCGGACGGGTTTACGGCGTATACTTGTCTGGGCAGAGTGCGTATTTGTTGGACGGGCAGCGTGCGTTTTTGAACCTATTTCGTAGTGCGCCCCACCCCCCACAAAACCCGCGCAAGCTTCGAAGGCGAGGGAGCCCTCCCTGCTCTGTCCCAATGCAAACTTCCCAAAGGCAGCGGCAGCCCCTTGGAAGCCTCAGCGCTTTCCGGCCGGGCAGCAACAGCAGCATCCAGCAGACGAACCACGCCAGAGTGCCCGGTTTGAGAAGGATGCAGCTGTCGAAGCAAAATGCCTCACGCTGCCAACTTATGTCCGCGGAAGCTCACGGCTCGACTTTCTAACACGCTTCGTGGAAGCTACCCCTGTCCGCGGGAAGGGTGGCGGAAGTATTAGTTTCACGCGAGCACTCGAAGGGAACAAACAGCAATGGTAAGCGTAAGCAGCAGGTCTGTGCAGAATTCCCCACCCGCCCGCCCGCGGCGCGTAGCCCACTACTTTGTTTTTGGCTGCCAAAAGTAGAGTGTTCGCTGCTGCTTATCGTGGCCCTTCTGACAGTTTGAGCTTTGTAAAGCGAGCTGTTCCTTTGTTTGCCAGCAAAGAAGTCAGATTTTGTTGCAGGGGGTTCTGTCTTTGTTTGCGCCCATCGCATATTTGTCCTGTGTTCAGGCCGCCCAATGTGTCACTCATCCTGACATGATTTTTGTTGCAATCAAGTGGACTCACTGCGTGAAGCCGAGGCCCCCGCTGGGATGACAGGCTCTCCAGTGCCTTGGGGAAATATTCATCCTGAGACACGCGTACAAGTGGCTTTTTGCCTGCGATGCGGGCGAGAACCATGCAAACATTTCCCACAACAAGGGAGATGCACGCGCAATCGCTGCAAATTCTGCCACTGCCTGCAGCCGCTGCGTGGCACGGCGTGGCTTTGCAGTCAGTCGGTAGCCTCCTTTTGGGGGCAGTAGTATTTGCCTCCAAGCTGAAAGCTATAGGCGTTGCTGGGGCCGGCGTCCATTCTGGCATGTTCAATGCGCGAGTGCCGCCCATCGCCTGCGTTAGGTAATGGGCAACGGTGCTCCCATGGGCATGCGGAGTTTTGGCTAACTCTCAGTTTTACAGTCTTACTTGCACCTCGCTCACAGACTGAAGCCTCTAACCGGACAGGGGACTCTCAAGAAATATGAGTCCAACGTTTCACAGAGCCTGCAATGCCACCGCTCACGCAGCAAAGAAGCGGGTTGCTGGGTTGCTGGGCCATGTGAAGCTTGGGAGGATGAGCGCGGCGCAATTTTACCCAGAAAATTGGGTCAGTTCCTTTGGATCTACCAAGTTGCTTTGGTCGGAGGCGAAGAGAGGGGACAGACTCAGGTCACATCAGCGTGGCATGGGAGGCCTAGCCGCACATCCAACGAGGCCCACGGGCTTCTTGGGTATATAGTGTCAGTTAGTGTTATGCCAATTTTGGTTGGCCATTCTGTTTGCTCGCTTTTCCGCCTTCCTGCCTGCCTGCTTGCTCGCTCGCTCGCTTGCTCGGGCAGTCGGTCGGTCGGTCGGTTGGCGCTTGCTTGCTTGCTTTGCTTTGCTTTGCTTTTCTTTGTTGCTTGCTTGCTTGCTTGCTTGCTTTCTTGCTTTCTTGCTTTCTTGCTTTCTTGCTTTCTTGCTTTCTTGCATTCTTTGCTTTGTTGTGGGTTTCTTGTGGTTTTGGGTGGACTTGCTTGAAAAAACAGATGTTGATGTATGCCCAGAAATGGCCAGGCAGAAGGACAACAGGTCCATTCGCCGCAATTGGGCAGTGGCTGGCAGGGTCGCCCCAGGCTGCGCAGCGCTTGGCCTTCGCAACGAAATCGCTGACGTCGCTGGCTCGTTTTTGCCCTCCCGGAAGGCGCTTGGGCCGTGATCCGGGTGCAGGGGTTGTGAGGCTCGGGCATGCCCATCCAGTCTGTCTTCCGAAGTCCTGAAAGACGTGCGTGGTCCACGGATTCGGATATGGACAAGGCCGCGCATCTCCTTTTCCAGAAGAGGCCCGAGTTTCCCCATGGCCACCTCCCTCCGGTCGAACATGGATGGTATGCTCACCTCCAAACCCAGTTTCTACGTTTGTGTCGGTTGTTTTTGTACATTTCGGAGAAAGATCAATTTGAGGGGAACCAAACAGGTCGTTGTTACTCTTCCGGGCTGAATCCATTGAGGAAATAACTATGCTGCTAGATATCTTATGTAAGATAATTTGAGCAGCAACGGACGTTCCAGCCAAAAGGAAGTGTGAAGGGATTGCTAGCTGAGTGCAATTAGGGGGACAGGTTGTTTGACGGGGTACAGCCCCTCATCTCGACAGAACTAGCTTGATTCATTCCGGTGTGCCTTTCAATTCTGGCATCCTTTTCAAGGGTTGCTTCAACAGGGATCCAAAGAGAAACCATTTTGAGATCGGACGTTTCGCACATCCCTTCAGCAGCTTGATGCATCATGGTCCATGGTGTCAAAACCCGGCGAAGCCAAATGCGCCTGTTGCAAAAAAGGAAATCCGGGGTTTCGAACAGGTTCAACATCCATATTCTTGGAAGCAACGCCAAGACCAAAGCTGCCCGATCCGGTTTGAACTTTCCTGGGGTTCAGTTGAGTCGCGTGCCCCTTGACCTTGCCATGGTAGCACCACAGATGGGAACATTTACCGGGGTTGCCTTCTCTGAGCCGGGAGCGTCGAAACTGAGACGGCTCGGGGATCGTCCCCCAACTGGTTGAGGCCTACGGCTATGCAGCTGGTTGGAAGAGTTCCGGCTGGTTGGATTTAGGTCGCATGGTGAGGGACGAGGCCTGGCACCAAGCGCCGAGTTGACCTACTGGTGGCGTGAAATTGCAACGACACCTGCTGTGACACTTTTTCTGCTTGGTGTTCTGCTCGCGCAGGCTTTTTAAGGTGCCCGAACCAACTGTCAGAGGGCAGCGCGGAGGTCAGGCAACACCCAGCACCACGCTTCAGACACAAAGATTGGATGCATGGTTATTGACGCCGCAGGTTTTCGTTTGCAACAAGAGCCCCCGTTTCCTTCGGGAGGGTGTGTCGGGTGCCATGGCTACCATGACCGGCCTTCCCTGGCCGGACATCTGCACCCCGGCGCTGCTGCAGGCTCTGGGCTGGCGGGGCTTGGGCCCATTGCGAACGCTGTGCCGCTCCAGCCGTGCGCAAGCTGAGGCGCACGCTGAGGCGGGCAGTGTTTCTTTCTGGGGTCTCCTTTGATACTTGCCTTTTTCTTGACATTTTAAGGTTTCTTTTTTTTGGTCATGTTGTATGCAACCGGCTTTTGGTGGCTGACGCATGCTGCCCGCGCACCTGTCAGGAGACGGTGCCGAGCAGGGACGCGGAGGTGCGCGGCATCTTCCGTGCCGTGGCCGGCGCGGCCCAAACTGCCGCCGGCTCGGAGCCTGCGGAGCAACTGCGCGCGGCGAAGACGATGCGGCAGAGCGCCCAGCGCGTCCTGAAAATCCTCCAGGTGCGACCCATTCAAACAAATCTTCCGCTGAAAGCATGGTAACTAGCCTCGAAGGGTAGGTGATGGCCAAGAAACCCAAGCCGTGGTAAGTCTCCGAAGGTCGTTTGGACGCCAGAAGCTGGGAACTTCGAGGTGGGGGACATCTATGCGCTGGATCCATGGCAGGTTTTCGGGGCCATGGCGCGGGAGCTGCAACAACATGCCGGGCCACCTGTGCTGCCTTGCCCCGCTGAGCACATCCTCGCGGCTCGCAGGGCGCTGCAAGCCGCCCGCAGGGTGGAGGAGTTTTTCTACTCGGAGGATGAGGATTCCTTTGCAGTGGTGTCCAGGGCCACGGGGACGCGCCCTTTCTTCGTCCCAGAGGAAGAAGGCGAAGTGCCGGCGCCTTGCCAAGGTGTTCCAGCTCAACCTTTTGCGAGTTGCCAATGTGCCTTTTTGTTTTTTGGAGGGATGGAGCTTCGTTTTCCGTTTCGGAAGCGCTCGGATTGAGGCTCGTCAGGCCGAGCCCGGCCTGGGCCTGGAGGTCCGCGGCCTGTTCGATGAGCTGGCGAACGCGGCCCAGCAAGCCGCCGAGTGGCCCGCGGCTGCGTGGCAGCCAGCGGGGCTGCGCCGCGTGGCGCAGGCCATCCGAGGGCCCGCGGCACGCGTCCTGGAGATCCTCCGAGTGGAGCCGGGCGGCGACGTGGACGTCGCGGACCTCAACGGACTGGGCCCCGGGCAGCTGCTGGAGGCGCTGTCGCCGGAGCTGCAGCGGCACGCCACGGCGCCCGCAGGTGGCAGCAGACCCGCTGCCGAGGCTCGGCGGGCCTGGGCCCTCACTGCCGGCAGAGTGCTCGACGTCTCCCGGCGGCTGGAGGAGGCGGGCCAGCTGGAGCCTCAGGCGGAGGCGAGTGAGGCATCCGCAGATGAGCAATCGGATGTTGCCACGCAGCCCACGCTGGAGTCGGGGACGACGCTGGATGCGGCCGCCACTTCCGGCTGGCTGGTGCCTAGCTCGAGCGGCGGGCCCGAGATCCTTGGCCGCGTGGACGAGGAGCCGGAGCTGGGCGGAGAGGAGGCTCTCGTTGCGGCATCTCAGCGCATTGTGCTGCAACGGCAACTCCTGCGTGCCAAAATCAGAACATGTCCGGAAGGGCATGAGCTTCGGGAGGATGACGGTGACAGAGCAATGTGCAGCCTGTGCAGGAGAGATAATCAGGGGGTGATCCTGTGCTGCGGCCGGTGCGATTGGGATATATGCCAAGAGTGCACTGGTCTCGATGGCCTTCCCCATGCTCACGAGGCAGATGAAGATGTGGTGCAAAGGGCTGTTGTGTCTACGGTACTGGCGCAAAGTCAAAGGCTGCGGCAGAAGCGTGATCACTGCGGAGCTGCAGTGCTCTTGCAGGCAGCCACTAGAAGACTGGAGGACGAGGCACTGAAGATGAAAGAGTCCGCTGACCCTGACCATGAGAAAGCAGCCGGCACCTTGCATGAGCTGGGCAGGTTGCTGAGGCAGAACGGAGACCTGAACCAGGCCGAGCACCACCTGACGGAGGCACTGAGGATGAAGATATTGTTCTATGGTGGCGCTGACCATGAGTCAGTCGCAGTCACTTTGCATGAGCTGGGCATGTTGCAGAAGCAGAAAGGAGACTTGGAGCAAGCCGAGGAGCAGTTGAAGGAGGAGCTAAGGATGGAAAAGTCCATCTATGATGGTGCCGACCATGTGAGCGTTGCAGGCACTTTGCATGCGCTGGGCATGTTGCTGAAGCAGAAAGGCGACCTGGAGCAAGCCGAGGAGTACTTAAAGGAGGAGCTGAGGATGGAAAGGTCCATCTATGATGGTGCCGACCATGTCAGCATTGCAGTCACTTTGCACGAGCTGGGCATGTTGCTGAAGGAGAAAGGAGACTCGCAGCAAGCCGAGGAGCACCTGAAGGAGGCAGTGAGGATGAAGGAGTCTGTCTATGGTGGTGCCAAGAACGAGAACGTTGCAGTCACTTTGCATGAGCTGGGCATGGTGCTGAAGGAGGAAGGAGACCTGGACAAAACCGAGGAGTATCTGAAGGAAGTACTGAGGAAGAAGATGTCCGAGTATGGTGATTCCGACCAAGAATTGTTCGATTTGATCAGATTGCTGCACCAGAAGAGAGACCTGAAGCAGGCATTGAGGATCACAAGGTGTATCTGTGATGGTGTCTTCCATGAGGACTTTGCGGTCGCTTTGAGTGAGCTGAGTGGGCTGGGCCAGGAAGGTCAGGAGCTTATCCAGAAGTTATTGAGTGCATTCCACAATCTCAGTGAGCTAGCCCCAAAGATGAGGAGGCGTTTCTGCTCTTTCACGAAGCCTGGCAACGATCACAAGATTAAGATGAAAGCTAGGGATCCTGCCATCGTTGCTCTTGTACCTGGCCTCATCTTGAAAGTTGCAGCCCTGCTTTTTGATGGCAGCTTGAATAGAACTCAGTTTCACTGAGGTCCATTCCCCAGCGTAAACCATTTCTGAAGAAGACCTATCAGCCTATCCGTGCTCGATTTAAACTTGAAAACCACTGTTGACTGCGGGAGCTGCCAGTTCATCCAGAGCTTTGTGATACACATCTAAACAAGCATGTGATACAGCAGAGCACAGATGTTGACGTGGTTTGAATCAGTTTAGCAAGACATGGCCGTTCTCTGAAACGGCGTGAGATGGCAAGGCCGTGAAAGACAGGAAAATGGGCGTGTCATTTGCGAAGTCCTTTCTGTTTTTGGTTTCCCTGATTTGCTCTTGTTTGCGGGCGTCTTGCTGTGTTGATGGGGATACGTTTGCGGAAGGGTGCCAGTGTCAGCCAGAAAAGCGACGTGATGCTTGCGGTCTGCCTGTGGTCGAGCTGAACGTCAGGTGGCTGGATTGGGTGGAATGGGCCTACTGTGTTGATTCCCCATTCTTTTCAACCATCCTTCTGGGATTCTGGAGGTTTTCTGGAAAGAAGGATCCCTGCAAAGAGTGGAAATGGAAGGTACCTGTGGAGTAGTGAGGCATTTGTCCACCCCGTTTGGATTCGTGCTCAAAACGGGATGGGTCAGCTTCAATGCCACTGGGCTGGGCCAGGGCGCACGTGTCACGACTGACATGCCGATTCCCCCTTTGTCTCGTGGATGGCCCTGCCAAATTGCAACTAAACAAAGGGATCTTTTGCAAAGGGTTTCCAACTTGTTCCCTTGCAATGTTGATTTGGCTTCTTTTCCATAGCTCTGGAAAAAACGGGGCCCATGGTGAAGGACAAGTAGCGCGAGCGGTTGGTGAATGTTGCATTCCCCCCCCCCCCCCTCCACCCCCCCTCCCCCCCCATCTCCCTACCTTGTCCTTCGTACCAGAAAGCCAGTTGAAGGCGGATTGATCCTTCATGAAGATCGGTTCGAAGATTCAGTGCGCAAAGAGAGGCGGGGGGGGGGTTCTTATGGCCGTAATTTGGATCGAAGGGGACGCCTTGGGAGTTTTGATCCGCGGCATCCCTTCGATCGGCCTCGCCAGGTGCCAGGCGCCAGGCGAGTCTACGCCTGCGAAAACCCGCGGCCGGCGCGGCAGGCGCGGGCCGGGAAGGGTAGGGCTGACGAGGACTCGGTTGTAGGGCTTGCCTGCTTCCAGGGGCGGCTTTTCAAGCAACACAGTTCGTTTCAGGGGGGCTTGATTGATATCAGGTTGCACAGTTCATTGAGTGAAGGCGGTGTTCTTTGATGGACTCGTCTTGACATTTGCAAGCACCGAGTTGACAAGTTGCGTAAAATCGCACTGCTGTCACACGTTTTCTGCTCGCGGAGGCTTTTTAAGCTGCCCAGAGCAACTGCCCGGGGGCAGCACGGAGACCGCAATCGCCGAGGAAAATGCTGCAATTTATCGCCACCCGTGAAAAGCACCCAGCACTCATGGCAGTCAAGAGCAACATCTCCAGGCAGACGAGGCAGCAATCGCCACAGAAAACGCCGGCAATCACGCCATCCCAAAGACTTGAAGGACGTCCTGCAACTGCCATGGCTGCCATGGCCAGCCTTCCCTGGCCGGACATCTGCACCCCAGCGCTGCTGCAAGCTCTAGGCTGGCGGGGCTTTGGCTCATATCGATTGCTGTGCCGCTCCAGCCGTGCAGAAGCGGAGGCGCACGCTGAGGCGGGCAGCTTGCACTTTCTGGGGTCTCGTCGGATACTGATTCTTTTTGTTCACATCTTAAGGTTTCGTGTTTAGCAGTGTGAACCAAGTGTTGGTCATGTTGCGTGCAACCGGCTTTTGGTGGCTGACGCATGTTGCCCGCGCACCTGTCAGGAGATGGTGGCGAGCAGGGACGCGGAGGTGCGCGGCATCTTCCGCGCCATGGCCGGCGCGGCCGAAAATGCCGCCGGCTTGGAGCCTGCGGAGCAGCTGCATGCGGCGGGCGGTTTGCGGCAGATGGCGCTGTGCGTCCTGGAGATTCTGCAGGCGCCGAGCTGCGCCGACCTCGACGTCCGGGACATGCACGGGCTGGACGCCGGGCAGCTGTTCGAGCTCATGTTGCGGGAGCTGCAGGCCATGCCACCCGAGTCGGCTCAGATCCTCAGAGCTCGCAGGGCGCTGCAAGCTGCCCGCAGGGTCGAGGAGTTTCACTATTCCCAGGAGAGCGTGCCCTACACGATGGTGTCTGCGGCCACTGGGCCACGCCCCGCTCTCTTCATCACAAGCGAAGGAAGTGATGCGCCCGAGTCCGCCCAGTCTGATGATGTTGTGGCGCCCACGATGGATTCTGGGACGACGCTGGCTGCCACTTCTTCCTTTGGACCCTTTAGGCTGGGTGCGGCCCTGCAGAGCTCGAGCGGTGTGCCTGAGATCCTGGAGCGAGTCGAGGAGGAGCTGGAGCCGGCCGGAGAGGAGGAGGTTCGCGTTGCGGCAGCTCAGCACATTGTGCTGCAGCGGCAACTCCTGGGGGCCAACATCAGAACATGTCCGGAAGGGCATGAGCTTCAGGAGCGGGAGGATAGGCCCGCAATCTGCGACCTTTGCGAGGAAGAGATTAAAGGGGTGACCTTGTGCTGTGTCCAGTGCGATTGGGACATATGCCAAGAGTGCGCTGGCCTGGCTGGCCTTCCAAATTCTCAAGATGCAGACGAAGATGTTGCTCAAAGGGCTGGCTGGTCGATGCTAAAGAGGCAAAGTGCAATGCTGCGGGAGAAGGGCGATTTCTCCGGAGCTGCAGCGCTCTTGACCTGGAAAGAGCCGAGGAGCACCTGACGGAGGCACTGAGGATGAGGAAGTCCGTCAATGATGGTGCCCTCCTTGTGAGCGTTGCATCCACTTTGCATGAGCTGGGCGTGTTGCTGTTCCAGAAAGGAGACCTGGAGCAAGCCGAGGAGCACCTGAAGGAGGCACTGAGGATGATGAAGTCCGTCCATGGTGATGCCGACCATGTGGAGGTTGCAATCGCTTTGCATGAGCTGGGCTGGCTGCTGAAGCAGAAAGGAGACCTGCAGCAAGCCGAGGCGCACCTGAAGGAGGCACTGAGGATGAGGAAGTCCGTCTATGCTGGTGCCGACCACGTGAACGTTGCCGTCACTTTGCAAGAGCTGGGCTGGCTGCTGAAGCAGAAAGGAGACCTGGAGCAAGCCGAAGAGCACCTGAAGGAGGCGCTGAGGATGATGAAGTCCGTCTATGGTGGCGCCGACCATGATAACGTTGCAGCCACTTTGCATGCGCTGGGCATGTTGCTGCAGAAGAAGGGAGACCTGCAGCAAGCCGAGGAGCACCTGAAGGAGGCACTGAGGATGATGATGTCCTTCCCTGCTGGTGCCGACCATATGAGCGTTGAATCCACTTTGCATGAGCTGTGCATGTTGCTGCAGAAGAAAAAAGGTGAGGAGCCCCTAAAGGAAGAACTGAGGATGAAGAAGTCCGTCTATGGTGGTGCCGACCATGCGAGCGTTGCATCCACTTTGCATGAGCTGGGCGTGTTGCTGTTCCAGAAAGGAGACCTGGAGCAAGCCGAGGCGCACCTGACGGAGGCACTGAGGATGAAAAAGTCTGTCTATGGTGGCGCCGGCTTAGACACTGTGTATGCGCTTGGCATGCTGCTGAAGCAGAAAGGCGACCTGGAGCAAGCCGAGGAGCACCTGAAGGAGGCACTGAGGATGATGAAGTCCGTCTATGGTGGCGCCGACCATGAGTTAGTAGCAGACGCTTTGCATGCGCTTGGCATGCTGCTGAATCAGAAAGGCGACCTGAACCAAGCCGAGGAGCACCTGAAGGAGGCGCTGAGGATCAAGAAGTCCGTCTATGGGGGTGCCGACCTCGCGAACGTCGCAGTCACTTTGTATGAGCTCGGCATCGTGCTGAAGCAGAAAGGAGACCTGCAGCAAGCCGAGGAGCACCTGAAGGAGGCTTTGAGGATGGAGAAGTCCGTTTTTGCTGGTGCCGACCATGCGAACGTCGCCGTCACGTTGCATCAGCTGGGCAGGTTGCGGAAGCAGAAAGGAGACCTGAACCAAGCTGAAGAGCACCTGAAGGAGGCTTTGAGGATGAAGAAGTCCGTCTATGGTGGTTGCGACCATGTGGAGGTTGCATGCATTTTGCATCAGTTGGGCAGGCTGCTGGATCAGAAAGGCAACCTGAACCAAGCTGAGGAGCACCTGAAGGAGGCTTTGAGAATGAAGAAGTCCGTCTATGGTGGTTGCGACCACGTGAGCGTTGCCGTCACTTTGCTTGATCTGGGTGTGGTGCTGAGGAGCAGTGGAAAACTGGAGCAGGCCCAGGAGCTCTTGATAGAGGCATTGAGGATGAAGGCATCTGTGATGAGGACGCGGAGGTCTATCCTTGACCACGAACACCATGAACGCCTGGTAGCGGCTTTGATCGAGCTGGGCGCTGTGCTGCTGCTGCGGCAGAGATGGACAGCTGCCTGGATGGCCGTGATGGTCTTTCCATTTTGCATGGTCGGCGCCTCTTTCGCCACGCTCTTGCACTTCGCAGTTCAGCTCTTGCCGGGCTAGAAGGATCAGACCTGCGCAGTTGCAAGCTCGAGAAGAGCTCCGGCAAAAGCTCGGGTGGTCACCGTCGCTAAAATTGGCGCCTGCCAAGAGGTTTACCTTGTGAGTTGTAAGTGGCGTGTTGCCTAGCGAAACAGATTGCGTGTCTCAAGAGGGAAGCATCTCCACGTGGTTGCCTTGCGATTTCCCGTTCCTGGTTCCAAATGTCTTGAGGCAAACCTATGTTGACACGTGCCGCGTCCGCATTGAGAACTGGGGGTTGATGGACTGTTCAGATGAAGGGTGTTCAATAGCAGCTCTGTTTAACCCATCGCCATCCATCTTTCTACTTTGCCAGTTCGTTTTTGCCAGTATGAAGGCTGCCTGCAAACGATGGGAAGAACGACCTAAAATTCCCCCCAGCTTTGGCGCTGGAGTTGACGGACCTGGCTCTTGCACCTGGCCGCGTGTTGAAGCGGGCCGCCTCGCTTTGAGGGCAGTTTGACTAGAACTCATTCAGAGATGCGTCGTTTTGCTCAAGTGCCGAGCGGGAAGAGAGAGGAAGGCAGGCACAACGAAACGGGGAACCCAGAACAACGAATGCAGATGCATTAGCGACCCACCCTGGAGGGGTCCGTCTAATTTTGAGACACACCCGCGTGGTGCAATATATATTTTCTTAAAGTTATTCCCATATCCCCTCCTGACGTGCCCTGAGTCCCATGTCGTGGTTGTTTTTTTTCATGGCGTTGGGATGAAACGCCGTGGTTGCCCTTGGGGGAGTCTGCCGGACTTCCAAACTTTTCGGAGGCTGCTGACGCGGAGCTTTGCGGCTGGGGGCTGACCTGAGCCACTCGGTAGAACATGGTTGAATTGGCTGGGAGTTTCAATAGGAACCCCTCAAAACCCCTTCAAATGTGGTTGCTGGACATAAATCCCCACCCAAAATGAGCCAAAGGGTTCCATATTCAGCATCATACCTAATTCAGGCTGGTTGAAACTCCCAGGAAGTAAAGTGCTTGGATAGCGGCGCCGCGCGACCCGCTGCGAACTCCCAAACAAATCCTGATGCTTGCTCCCGGCCGGTTTTGGAGCACTGTGATTCGTAGTGCTCTTGGCAGCAGCAACACACCGCGGACCAACCTACAAGCCACCGGCTCCAAAAGAGCAGTCCCTTGAGGCCGCTGCCATGTTGGCAACCAAAGCGCAACCGGTTGCAGCTTGATATAGGAAGGGTTGGCTCTTTTCTGAAAAAGAAGATTTCTGGAACGATGTGCGGAGGCTCGAGTGCTGCGGCGGCCCCGAGCGGACCTTTAGTCGCCCAGTTCGCCGCAGTCCTCGGCCGCATGCCTGGAGCCCCGACAGACTCAGCTTGGGAAGGAGGTTGCGGGGGCAGGGGCAGAGGGGTCAGCGGGGATGCGAGGAAGTGCCCCTCTCGGGTGATCCCTTTGGTTTTGGGTCAACTTGAGAATTGATTCTTGATAAAAGTCGAGAAATCGCCAGGCAGCAGGCGAAGAAACAGGGCCAGTCGCAGCAATTGGGCAGTCGCTTTTGGTCGGCAGGTGTCAAGTTGCCCGCCTCACCGCCCCAAGGCAGCAGTTCGTGCTCGCTCCCTTGCACTCTCGGAAGGCGCTTGAGCTGTCGTTTGAGGCAGGGCGAAGCCCGTTTTGGCGGGGACGCAACAAGGGCTTGTTTCGGAGACCCTTGATTTGGGCTTCAGTGGAGGCTGTGAGAGTCGGCGTTTGTGGGCACCCTGCCCCAAGTCAAGGCTGTCTGCTGCTGAAGGCTTCAAAGACTTGCGTGGCCCTCCAAGCGAGATTCAGATACGGACAAAGCCGCTCAGTGGCATTCCAGCACAAGAGGTGCCGGTCGAACGTGGGTTTGCTCACCTCAAAAATTAGTTTCTGAAGTTTGCGCATTTCGGAGAAAGATCAATTTAAGGGGGAAACAAACAGGTAGTTTTGACTTCTCCGGGCTGAATCCATTTAGGAAGTAAGTACGATGCTAGAAAACTTATGTAAGACTGTAAGAGAATCTGAGCAACGGACGTTGCCAAAAGGACGTGTCAAGGGATCGCTAGCTGAGGGACAGGCTGTTTGATGGGGTACAGCCCCTTATCTCGCGAGACTGGTCCGATTCATTCAGGTGTGTCTTCTTTTAGGGCATCCTTTTTGGGGTTTGGCTCGAGGGGGATCCAAAGGGAAGCCACTGTTGAGATTGGATGCTTTGCACATCCCTTCAGGAGCTTGATGCGTCATGGCCTGCAACATGTTCAAGAGTATTGAGGGGAATCCGGGGTTTCGACCCTGCCTTGGTGTTGTCGCCACACACACGAATTGATGCGCCAGTTTTCTACCGGCGGATTGATCCTTCATGAAGATCGATTCGAAGCACCCGTGTGACGAGAGAGGCGCGGGGGGGAGTTTTTCTTATGGCCGCAATCTGGCGCCAAGTGCCAGGCGCCCGGGTCTACGCCTGCGAACACCCGGCCGGCGTGGCCGGCGCGGCAGGCGCGGGCCGGGAAGGGTAGGGCCATGGAGGACTCGGTTGAAGGGCTTGCCTGCTTCCAGGGGCGGCTTTTCAAGCAAACACAGTTCGTTTCAGGGGCTTGATTGATATCAGGTTGCATAGTTCATTGAGTGAAGGCGGTGTTCTTTGATGGACGCGTCTTGACATTTGCAAGTACCGAGTTGGCAAGTTGCGTGAAATCGCACTGCTGTCACACGTTTTCTGCTCGCGCAGGCTTTTTAAGCTGCCCAGAGCAACTGCCCGGGGGGCAGCACGGAGACCGCAATCGCCGCGGAAAATGCTGCAATTTATCGCCACCCGTGAAAAGCACCCAGCACTCATGGCAGTCAAGAGCAACATCTCCAGGCAGACGAGGCAGCAATCGCCACAGAAAACGCCTGCAATCACGCCATCCCAAAGACTTGAAGGACGTCCTGCAACAGCCATGGCTGCCATGGCCAGCCTTCCCTGGCGCTGCTGCAAGCTCTAGGCCGGCGGGGCTTTGGCTCATATCGATTGCTGTGCCGCTCCAGCCGTGCAGAAGCGGAGGCGCACGCTGAGGCGAGCAGCTTGCGCTTTCTGGGGTCTCGTCGGATACTGATTCTTTTTGTTCACATCTTAAGGTTTCGTGTTTAGCAGTGTGGACCAAGTTGGTCATGTTGCAACCGGCTTTTGGTGGCTGACACATGTTGCCCGTCCACCTGTCAGGAGATGGTGGCGAGCAGGGACGCGGAGGTGCACGGCATCTTCCGCGCCATGGCCGGCGCGGCCCAAAACGCCGCCGGCTCGGAGCCCGAAGAGCAGCTGCGCGCGGCGGAACGGCTGCGGCAGGGGGCGCTGCGCGTCCTGGAGATTCTGCAGGCGCCGAGCTGCGCCGACCTCGACGTCCGGGACATGTACGGGCTGCACGCCGCGCGTCTGCTTGAGGTCATGGCGGCGGAGCTGCAGGCACAGGCGTCAGCGGGTGCTGCCCAGATCCTCAGAGCTCGCAGGGCGCTGCAAGCTGCCCGCAGGGTCGAGGAGTTTCACTATGCCGAGGAGAGCGTGCCCTACACAGTGGTGTCTGCAGCTGGGAGGTTGCGCCCAGCCACACGCCCTTTCTACATCACTGGGGAAGGAAGCGATGCGCCCGAGTCTGCCCAGTCGGATGATCTTGTGGCGCCCACGATGGATTCTGGGACGATGCTGGATGTGGCCTCTTCTTCCTTTGGACCCTTCAGGCTGGAGGGAACGACGCAGACAGGCGCGGCCATGCGGAGCTCGAGCGGCGGGCCTGAGATCCTGGAGCGAGTCGAGGAGGAGCGTGAGCTGGGAGGAGAGGAGGTTCGCCTTGCGGCAGCTCAGCACATTTTGCTGCAGAGGCAACTCTTGCGTGCCAAATTCAGAACATGTCCGGCAGGGCACGAGCTTCAGGAGCGGGAGGATAGGAGGGGAGCAAGCTGCGACCTTTGCGAGGAAGATATTAAAGGGGTGACCTTGTGCTGTGACCAGTGCAATTGGGATGTATGCCGAGAGTGCGCTGGCCTGGCTGGCCTTCCACATTCTCACGATGCAGACGAAGATGTGCCCCAAATGGCTGCTTTGGCGATGCTGCGAAGGCTCAGTAAACAGTTGGAGCAAAAGGGCGATCTCTCCGGAGCTGCAGCACTCTTGAAAGCAGCCCTGAAACAACCGCGGCCAGGTGATCAGGATTCTCATGATCCAGACGTGGTCGTGGTCTTGTATGCTGGTGCCGATAACGTGAATGTTGCAGCCACTTTGCATGAGCTGGGCATGCTGCTGAAGCAGAAAGGCGACCTGGAGCAAGCCGAGGAGCACCTGAAGGAGGCACTGAGGATGGAAAGGTCCGTCTATGCTGGTGCCGACCACGTGAACGTTGCAACCACTTTGCATGAGCTGGGCTCGTTGCTGAAGCAGAAAGGCAACCTGAACCAAGCCGAGGAGCACCTGAAGGAGGCACGGAGGATGAATAAGTCCGTATATGCTGGTGCCGACCATGAGCAAGTAGCAGTCACTTTGCAGGGGCTGGGCAGTCTGCTGAAGCAGAAAGGAGACCTGGAGCAAGCCGAGGAGCACCTGTACGAGGCACTGAGGATGATGAAGTCCGTATATGCTGGTGCCGACCACGTGAACGTTGCAGCCACTTTGCATGCGCTGGGCATGTTGCTGCTGCAGAAAAGAGACCTGAATCAAGCCGAGGAGCACCTGTACGAGGCACTGAGGATGAATAAGTCTGTATATGCTGGTGCCGACCATGAGCATTTAGCAGTCACTTTGCAGGGGCTGGGCAGTCTGCTGATGCAGAAAGGGGACCTGGAGCAAGCCGAGGAGCACCTGAAGGAGGCACGGAGGATGAATAAGTCCGTATATGCTGGTGCCGACCACGAGAACGTTGCAGCCACTTTGCATGACCTGGGCATGTTGCTGATGCAGAAAGGAGACCTTGAGCAAGCCGAGGAGCACCTGAAGGAGGCTCTGAGGATGAGAAAGTCCGTCTATGATGTCGCCGACCAGGAGTGTGTAGCAGCCACTTTGCAGGTGCAGGGCGTGTTGCTGAAGCAGAAAGGAGACTTGGAGCAAGCCGAGGAGCACCTGTACGAGGCACTGAGGATGATGAAGTCCGTATATGCTGGTGCCGACCACGTGAACGTTGCAGCCACTTTGCATGCGCTGGGCATGTTGCAGAAGCAGAAAGGAGACTTGGAGCAAGCCGAGGAGCACCTGTACGAGGCACTGAGGATGATGAAGTCCATCTATGATGGTGCCGACCATGTGAGCGTTGCAGGCACTTTGCATGCGCTGGGCATGTTGCTGAAGCAGAAAGGCGACCTGGACCAAGCCGAGGAGTGCTTCAAGGAGAAGTTGAGGATGGAAAGGTCCGTCTATGCTGGTGCCGACCACGTGAACGTTGCAGCCACTTTGCATGCGCTGGGCAGGTTGCTGCAGGAGAAGGGAGACCTGCAGCAAGCCGAGGAGCACCTGAAGGAGGCACTGAGGATGGACAGGTCCGTCTATGCTGGTGCCGACCATGAGTGTGTAGCAGCAATTTTGCATGACCTGGGCATGTTGCTGCAGCAGAAAGGCGACCTGGAGCAAGCCGAGGAGCACCTGAAGGAGGCACTGAGGATGGAAAGGTCCGTCTATGCTGGTGCCGACCACGTGAAGGTTGCAGCCACTTTGCATGAGCTGGGCATGCTGCTGAAGCAGAAAGGCGACCTGGAGCAAGCCGAGGAGCACCTGAAGGAGGCACTGAGGATGGAAAGGTCCGTCTATGCTGGTGCCGACCACGTGAATGTTGCAGCCACTTTGCATGAGCTGGGCATGCTGCTGAAGCAGAAAGGCGACCTGGAGCAAGCCGAGGAGCAGTTGAAGGAGGAGCTAAGGATGGAAAAGTCCATCTATGATGGTGCCGACCATGTGAGCGTTGCAGGCACTTTGCGTGCGCTGGGCATGTTGCTGCAGCAGAAAGGCGACCTGGAGCAAGCCGAGGAGCACCTGAAGGAGGCACTGAGGATGGAAAGGTCCGTCTATGCTGGTGCCGACCACGTGAACGTTGCAGCCACTTTGCATGCGCTGGGCAGGTTGCTGCAGGAGAAGGGAGACCTGCAGCAAGCCGAGGAGCACCTGAAGGAGGCACTGAGGATGGACAGGTCCGTCTATGCTGGTGCCGACCATGAGTGTGTAGCAGCAATTTTGCATGAGCTGGGCATGTTGCTGCAGCAGAAAGGCGACCTGGAGCAAGCCGAGGAGCACCTGAAGGAGGCACTGAGGATGGAAAGGTCCGTCTATGCTGGTGCCGACCACGTGAACGTTGCAGCCACTTTGCATGCGCTGGGCAGGTTGCTGCAGGAGAAGGGAGACCTGCAGCAAGCCGAGGAGCACCTGAAGGAGGCACTGAGGATGGACAGGTCCGTCTATGCTGGTGCCGACCATGAGTGTGTAGCAGCAATTTTGCATGACCTGGGCATGTTGCTGCAGCAGAAAGGCGACCTGGAGCAAGCCGAGGAGCACCTGAAGGAGGCACTGAGGATGGAAAGGTCCGTCTATGCTGGTGCCGACCACGTGAACGTTGCAGCCACTTTGCATGAGCTGGGCATGCTGCTGAAGCAGAAAGGCGACCTGGAGCAAGCCGAGGAGCACCTGAAGGAGGCACTGAGGATGGAAAGGTCCGTCTATGCTGGTGCCGACCACGTGAAGGTTGCAGCCACTTTGCATGAGCTGGGCATGCTGCTGCTGCAGAAAGGCGACCTGGAGCAAGCCGAGGAGCACCTGAAGGAGGAGTTGAGGATGGAAAGGTCCGTCTATGCTGGTGCCGACCACGTGAACGTTGCGATCACTTTGCATGAGCTGGGCATGCTGCTGAAGCAGAAAGGCGACCTGGAGCAAGCCGAGGAGCACCTGAAGGAGGCACGGAGGATGAATAAGTCCGTATATGCTGGTGCCGACCATGAGCAAGTAGCAGTCACTTTGCAGGGGCTGGGCATGCTGCTGAAGCAGAAAGGCGACCTGGAGCAAGCCGAGGAGCACCTGAAGGAGGCACTGAGGATGGACAGGTCCGTCTATGCTGGTGCCGACCATGAGTGTGTAGCAGCAATTTTGCATGACCTGGGCATGTTGCTGCAGCAGAAAGGCGACCTGGAGCAAGCCGAGGAGCACCTGAAGGAGGCACTGAGGATGGAAAGGTCCGTCTATGCTGGTGCCGACCACGTGAACGTTGCAGCCACTTTGCATGAGCTGGGCATGCTGCTGAAGCAGAAAGGCGACCTGGAGCAAGCCGAGGAGCACCTGAAGGAGGCACTCAGGATGGAAAGGTCCGTCTATGCTGGTGCCGACCACGTGAACGTTGCAGCCACTTTGCATGAGCTGGGCATGCTGCTGAAGCAAAAGGCGACCTGGAGCAAGCCGAGGAGCACCTGAAGGAGGCACTTCCCGCAAGCGAATCCTTTTAGCAGGGCAGCGTTTTCTTTCTCCAAGGTTTCGCTTGGGTTTCTGAGGGCTTCACTTTCACCTGGGGTTTGGGGGGGTTTGCCAAAAAGGCCAAGGCCCTGAACATGAGTGGGGTGTTTTTTTGGGGATTTTTGGGCGGCAGGTGCCGAATCTGAGAGGCCGCCCGGGTGCGCCGGAGGAGCATTTCAAGTCCCATGCCCTCAGTTGCAGGTAAAAAAGAACGGTCGCCTGAACCACAGGTTCTTGCTCGATTTTCCCAAGCCAGAAGTTAAAGGGGATGGGGCATTTCCTTTTCGAATCGCCCCTCCTCCCAGTTTGGACATCCGACAAGAATTCCTGTCTTGGGTTCAGATGAACCCCCAAGCTGTGGCAATAGCCGACTCCAGTCAAATAAGGGGTATATCTATTCACCAGCCAGTTTCCGGACATACTTGGACAGCAAGCCTTTGGTTGTCGGCCCACTCACGTGAGTACACTGGTATGTAGGTTACTTTGGCTTGCATATCGCAGCTATGTATATTATTTATTCAGACATTGTTAGGTCTATTGCTCAAGGAATGGAAGAAACATGGTGAAGCAGGGGCAACCTTGCTATTCATTGATGTGGCTGAGCAGCGGACACCCCGGTTAACCCACCTGTAAGCTCTGGTAGCCAAACTTGCTTTCAACTTGGCCAACCTTCAGACAGGCTCAAGGAGAGCAGACAAGCCTTGAGTTCGCGGGTGTTGGCGGTGAGCAGCGATTCTGGCGCAAGGAGCCGTTTTGGGTCGGGCTGGATGTTTGTTGGGCGGTTTTAGGCGTAGAGTTCTTGCATGAACTTCTGGACATGTGGGGGTGTCGTTCTGCAGTTCTGACCAAAGGGCTCCGATCCTGTTGGCCTTTTTTCCTTGCACAGGCCCCAAGAGGTACCAACTTCACACACAGTCTGTGCTGCTCGGGCCGTGTCTTTCTCGCTTGCAGAGCCGCTGGAAAGAGGCCGCTGGAAAGAGGCCGCCGGAAAGAGGCGTAGTTTGGGGGTGAGTTGGAAACGGGTTGATTGTTTTCGTATTGTTCGTATTGTTTCCTTCAAGCTGTGATGCTTTCAGCGGCAGAGTTGCCTTTTGGGATCCATGAATCTGCCTGTTTGAGCGCACCAATCCCTGTAGTGTTTTTTCCACGTTGCAATGTCAGTGACTGGCGAAGTGTCAGTTGATCTTGACAGACCACTTCCTAACTACAAGCCTTAAAATTTCAACCTCAGTATGAACAGAACTTGTGTAAGAGAATCTGAGCAACGGACTTTGCAGCCAGAAGGAACTGTTGAGGGATCGCTGGGCGTCATCAGGGGACTGGCTGTTTGACGCGGTACGGCCCCTACTCTCGCGAGTGCCAGGTTTGATTCATTCGTGTGTGTTGTTTTTTGACGGCATCCTTTTCGGGGTCGGGTTTCAAGGGACACCAAAGGGAAACCATTTTGATGTTTCGCACATCCCTTCAGCAGCTTGATGCATCATGAAAGCCAAATGCGCCTGTTGCCAAAAGGGGAATCCGGGGTTTCGAACAGGTTGGAAGAAATACCAAGACGAAAGCTGCCCGATCCGGTTCGGTTGAGTCGTGTGCCCCTTGACCCTGCCATGGTCGCAGCACCACACATGGGAAGTTGCCTTCTTCTCTAAACCAAGCGGGTTGATCCTTTGTTACTTCAGAATTGTCATGGGCACAGGGGTCCATGTGGGTTGCACCAGGCGACGCGGGGCTATCCAGAAGTTGGCGGGCAAGATCGGTTCGAACCAGCGTAGCAGAAGAGCTTGGAAGACTGGCTGACTGGCTGCCAGCTAAAATCTGTGGCAGCTGGGGGACCCCTTTCACCCAAAACCCCCCAAAGCCGCGTGTTCGCCGGGCGAATCCGCGGCTTTCGGAGAGCCCCCCCCAGGGGAGGGACCCTTTCGCCGCCTTTCCGCCCGTCCCCAGCCGACCCCAGGCGCCGGCCCGCGACCTGGGCGGCCTGGAGCCGGCCTGGAGGCGGGATCTGTCCGCCTCGGGGTGAGGGCCCCTTGGACTCGGAGCCTCGAAACTGAGACGGCTCGGGGATCGTCCCCCAACTGATGGTTGAGGCCTACGGCTATGCAGCTGGTTGGAAGCGGCCGGTTTGATTTAGGTCGCATGGTGAGTGAGGGACGAGGCCTGGCACCAAGCACCGAGTTGACCTACTGGTGGTGTGAAATTGCAACGACACCTGCTGTGACACTTTTTCTGCTTGGTGTTCTGCTCGCGCAGGCTTTTTAAGGTGCCCGAAGCAACTGTCAGAGGGCAGCGCGGAGGTCAGGCAACACCCAGCACCACGCTTCAGACACAAAGATTGGATGCATGGTTATTGACGCCGCAGGTTTTCGTTTGCAACAAGAGCCCCCGTTTCCTTCGGGAGGGTGTGTCGGGTGCCATGGCTACCATGGCCGGCCTTCCCTGGCCGGACATCTGCACCCCGGCGCTGCTGCAGGCTCTGGGCTGGCGGGGCTTGGGCCCATTGCGAACGCTGTGCCGCTCCAGCCGTGCGCAAGCGGAGGCGCACGCTGAGGCGGGCAGTTTTTCTTTCTGGGGTCTCCTCTGATACTTGCCTTTTTCTTGACATTTTAAGGTTTCGTTTGATTTTGGTCATGTTGTATGCAACCGGCTTTTGGTGGCTGACGCATGCTGCCCGCGCACCTGTCAGGAGACGGTGCCGAGCAGGGACGCGGAGGTGCGCGGCATCTTCCGTGCCGTGGCCGGCGCGGCAAAAACTGCCGCCGGCTCGGAGCCTGCGGAGCAGCTGCGCGCGGCGAAGACGATGCGGCGGAGTGCCTGGCGCGTCCTGAAAATCCTCCAGGTGCGACCCATTCAAACAAATCTTCCCCTCAAAGCATGGTAACTAGCCTCGAAGGGTAGGTGATGGCCAAGAAACCCAAGCCGTGGTAAGTCTCCGAAGGTCGTTTGGACGCCAGAAGCCGGGAACTTCGATGTGCAGGACATGTCTGGGCTGGATGCCGGGCAGCTTTTCGAGGTCATGGCGAGGGAGCTGCAACAACATGCCCCCGCTTGCCCCGCTGAGCACATCCTCGCGGCTCGCAGGGCGCTGCAAGCCGCTCGCAGGGTGGAGGAGTTTTTCTACTTGGAGGATGAGGAGGACGATTCCTTTGCAGTGGTGTCCAGGGCCACGGGGACGCGCCCTTTTTTCGTCCCCGAGGAAGAAGGCGAAGTGCCGGCGCCTTGCCAAGGTGTTTCTAGATCTAGATTTCTCGTTTTTGGGAGCCTGTTGCCTATTGGAATAAGCCACAAGGGGGAGGTTCGGGGCCCAAGAGCAGTTTTTTGCACTGACAAGCATTCCTGAGTCAGGGCAGCCCGGCTCAACCTTTTTGTGAGTTGCCAATGTGCTTTTTGTTTTTTTGGAGGGGTGGAGCTTTCCGTTCCGGAAGCACTCGGATTGAGGCTCGTCAGGCCGAGCCAGGCCTGGGCCTGGAGGTCCGCCGCCTATTCGATGAGCTGGCGAGGGCGGCCCAGCAAGCCGCCGAGTCGCCCGCTGCGTGGCAGCCAGCGGGGCTGCGCCACGTGGCGCAGGCCATCCGAGGGCCCGCGGCACGCGTCCTGGAGATCCTCCGAGTGGAGCCGGGCGATGACGTGGACGTTGCGGACCTCAACGGACTGGGCCCCGGGCAGCTGCTGGAGGCGCTGTCGCCGGAGCTGCAGCGGCACGCCACGGCGCCCGCAGGTGGCAGCAGACCCGCTGCCGAGGCTCGGCGGGCCTGGGCCCTCACTGCCGGCAGAGTGCTCGACGTCTCCCGGCGGCTGGAGGAGGTGGGCCAGCTGGAGCCTCAGGCGGAGGCGAGTGAGGCATCCGCAGATGAGCAATCGGATGTTGCCACGCAGCCCACGCTGGAGTCGGGGACAACGCTGGATGCGGCCGCCACTTCCGGCTGGCTGGTGCCTAGCTCGAGCGGTGGGCCCGAGATCCTTGGCCGCGTGGACGAGGAGCGTGAGCTGGCCGGAGAGGATGAGTTTTGCGTTGCGGTAGCTCAGCGCATTGTGCTGCAGCGGCAACTCCTGCGCGCCAAAATCAGAACATGTCCGGCAGGGCATGAGCTTGAGGAGCGGGAGGATAGGAGAGCCTGCGACCTTTGTGCGGGGCAGAGATTAACGGGGTGACCTTGTGCTGTGTCCAGTGCGGGTGGGACATATGCCAAGAGTGCACTGGTCTCGATGGCTTTCCCCATGCTCGCGAGGATGATGAGGACCAAAGGGCTGATTGGACGATGCTGCTAAGGCTCAGTAAACAGTTGAAGCAACAGGACGATCTCTCCGGAGCTGCAGCACTCTTGAAAGCAGCCCCGAAACAACTGCGGCCAGGTGATCATGATCGAGACGTGGCCGTGGTCTTGCACAATCTCGGCCAGTTGCTGCGGCAGAAAGGAGACCTGGAGCAAGCCGAGGAGCACCTGAAGGAGGCACTGAGGATGATGAAGTCCGTCTATGGTGGTGCCGACGATGCCAGCGTTGCAGTCACTTTGCATGAGCTGGGCATGGTGCAGAAGAAGAGAGGAGACCTGTATCATGCAGAGGAGCACCTGAACGAGGCTTTGAGGATGAAGAAGTCTGTCTATGGTGGTGCCGACCATGTAGAGGTTGCGGTCACTTTGCATGCGCTGGGCATGCTGCTGAAGCAGGAAGGAGACCTGGACCAAGGCGAGGAGCACCTGAAGGAGGCACTGAGGATGAAGAAGTCCGTGCATGCTGATGCCGACCATGTAGAGGTTGCGGTCACTTTGCATGCGCTGGGCATGCTGCTGAAGCAGGAAGGAGACCTGGAGCAAGCCGAGAAGCACCTGAAGGAGGCTTGGAGGATGAAGAAGTCGGTCTATGGTGGTGCCGACCATGTAGAGGTTGCGGTCACTTTGCATGCGCTGGGCATGCTGCTGAAGCAGGAAGGAGACCTGGACTCAGTGCCCGAACCACTTCCGGAGGTTTCGGGCGCTCAAGGATATGTGCGAGTCGCACAAAAACGCCCACTTCTTTTTTGGGATGCTTTGAAGGAACGCCACAGGTCACACTACATTCTTTTTTTTCCTTTTTAATTTTGAGGCACCTGATCTGTTTGACATGATCCAGCTTCCCCGACGCGCAAAGTGCTTTGCTTCTTGCAGTGGGTCCTTGAGACCAACTCAGTTCTTTGTTTCAAGACACAATGTGTTTTTCTCTCCCCCAACTTTTGAAAGCTTCCATGGCCCTCGATCTTGACGGGGAAATAAAATCAAAGCAAACAAAGGACCGTTTCTTTGCAGGTTGCCTGGTCCTGGCCGCGTCGCCCGATGGCTCTGCTTTCACGAGCGGAGGTGCAAACGTGGACGTGAGCCGATGCTGCGGGCGAGAAGTGGATGGGAAGTCGGGGTCTAGTGTCAGTGTGATCCCATGATTGAAATCAACCTGGCTGTGGGTCAAAACTGTATTGGGATCCCATTTTGGGGTAGGTGCACCACCCATTTTAGAACCTATAAGCGTACGGGCTTTTGACCCATGGCCACCTGGCAGATGTTGTGCAGCGTTTCCCCCAAAGCTGATTTGGCCTGCGACACCCAAGGAAAATCAACCATGGACTCGCTATTCCTAGGCGAACATGTTTTCTGATGAATGAAGCTCATACCAGGCGAATTCCAAAAGCCCGTGTTTTTTTTTTTGGGGGGGGGTCCTTTCTGTTGATTGGTAGTGGCGTACCGTCATAACATTGGCTCAAGAAAAAGTGCTGAATTTCGGTAGTTCTCACCTTTCAACACTTTCGTTGGCAAATGTTTTGAGCCGGAGCCAGCATTGCAAGAGGGCCAGGCACCTGTACCCGAGAGTGATACTGCATGGTTCAGTGACAGAGGGGACATTTGGCCATGGAGTTTCATAAGGAACTCGCTCAAACATGGTTGGCCCCAACGCAGATGAGGTCGCCCACAAGGTCTCCAACATTCACACCCACGTGTCAAGAGTACCAACTTGATGTTTACGATGGGCTCACATGATGCATATTTCCGTAGCGGAGAAAGATCGATTTGATGGGAAGCAATTACTTTTTGGGCAAATAACTTTAGGTAAGAGAGTTTGAGCAACGGACGTTGCCAAAGGAAGTGTTGAGGGATCGCTGGCTGATACAATCAGGCGGACAGGCTTTTTGACGAGGTACAGCCCCTCATCTCATGAGTTCTAGTCTGATTCATTCGGGTGTGTCTTTTATTCCGGGCATCCTTGTGCCTTTTTTTGCGACACGTTCAAGTGTACTGAGGGGAATCCGGGGTTTCGAAGAGGTTCAACATCCAAATTCTTGGAATAGGTGCCGAGACGAAAGCTGCGGGTCCGATCCGGTTCCCTTGTTCTGTCCTAGAGTTCTGTCGAGTCGTGTGCCTCTTGACCCTGCCCTGGTGTCGCCACACGCACGAATTGATGAATGGGGCGGTGGGAGCAAGCAGTGCGTTTTGGCTCTGCTTGCTGCCTTCTGCCAGACCCCTAGCCCGCCAGTTTTCCCTGAAAGGCGGTTTGATCCTTTATCCTTGGGGCGTTGGAGCAGAATGTCGAAATCTACGTGGATTGGGAGTAGAATGTTAGAGTTAAGATGGGTTCGAAGAAGTGTGAAAGAGAGTTGGAGGGGGGGGGGGAGGGGTTGGAGCTTTTCACCTCATCAAAGAACACATGCGTGCCGATCTAGATGTTCCCCGTGCCGATCGTGAGGTGGAATTTCAGATTCATATTGATAAGAGAGAATGGAAGGGAAGAGATTACTCAAGCACCACTCTAGTTTTGCTTATGGCCATTTGGATCGAAGGTTTGATCCGAGGCGACAGACCGAAGCGTCCGCCAAGCGCCAGGCGCCAGGCGCCAGGCGCCAGGCCAGGCGCAGCGGGGCAACAACCCGGTGGCGCCAGCCGGCGCGGCAGGCGCGGCTGGTTGAAGGGCTTGCCTGCTTCAAGGGGCGGCTCTGGAAGGAAACAGTTGGTGTTCAGGGGCTTGTTTGATATCAGGTTGCATGGTTATTGAGTGAGGCAGGCGGTGTTCTTTGACGGACACGTCTTGGCACTTGCAAGCACCGAGTTGACCAGGTCGTACTGCAATCGCAGTACCTGCTGTCTCGCGCAGGCTTTGTAAACTGCCCAAGCAACTGCCAGAGGGCACAGAAAATGCTGCAATAGCGCCACCTCTGCAAAACAGCCATCACTCCCGGCAGTCAAGAGCAACATCTCCAGGCAGACGAGGCAGCAATCGCCACAGAAAACGCCGGCAATCACACCAAAGACTGGAAGGACGTCCTGGCCATGGCCATGGCCGGCCTTCCCTGGCCCGACATCTGCACCCCGGCGCTGCTGCGCGCTCTGGGCTGGCGGGGTTCGGACCCATTTCGAATGCTGTGCCGCTCCAGCCGTGCGCAAGCGGCGGCGCACGCTGAGGCGGGCAGCTTGCGCTTTTTGGGGTCTCCTCTGATACTTATTCTTTTTGTTTGCATTTTTATGGTTTCGTTTGACGTGTTTAGCTACCAAGTTGTGGTCATATTGCATGCAACCGGCTTTTTGGTGGCTGACGCATGTTGTCCGCGCACCTGTCAGGAGACCAGGGACGCGGAGGTGCACGGCATCTTCGGTGCCATGGCTGGCGTGGCCCAAAGCGCCGCCGGCTTGGAGCCTGCGGAGCAGCTGCGCCTGGCGGGCGGTTTGCGGCAGAGGGCGCTGTGCGTCCTGGAGATTCTGCGGGCGCCGAGCTGCGCCGACCTCTACGTCCGGGACATGTACGGGCTGGACGCCGGGCAGCTGTTCGAGCTCATGTTGCGGGAGCTGCAGGCCATGCCACCCGCGTCGGCTCAGATCCTCAGGGCTCGCAGGGCGCTGCAAGCTGCCCGCAGGGTCGAGGAGTTTCACTATGCCGAGGAGAGTGTGCCTTACCCAGTGGTGTCTGCAGCTGGGAGGTTGCGCCCAGCTACGCGCCCCGCCATTTTCATCACAAGCGAAGGAAGCGATGCGCCCGAGTCTGCCCAGTCCGATGATCTTGTGGCGCCTACGATGGATTCTGGGACGACGCTGGATGTGGCCACTTCTTCCTTTGGACCCTTTAGGCTGGAGGGAACGACGCAGACAGGGGCGGCCATGCAGAGCTCGAGCGGTGTGCTTGAGATCCTTCCCCAAGTAGAGGAGGAGGATTCTCCGGAGCTGGGCGGAGAGGATGAGGCTCTCGTTGCGGTATCTCAGCACATTGCGCTGCAGCGGCAACTCCTGCGTGCTGGAATCAGAACATGCCCGGCAGGGCATGACCTTCAGGAGCGGGAGGATAGGCCTGCAAGCTGCGACCTTTGCGAGGAAGAGATTAAAGGGGTGAGCTTGTGCTGTGTCCAGTGCAACTGGGACATATGCCAAGAGTGCGCTGGCCCGGCTGGCCTTCCACATGCTGACGATGCAGATGAAGTTGTGCCCCAAAGGGCTGCTTGGTCGATGTTAAAGAGGCAAAGTGGAATGCTGCGGGAGAAGGGCGATCTCCCCGGAGCTGCAGCGCTCTTGGAGGCAGGCCTCAAACGACTGCGGCCAGGTGGCCAGGATTTTGATGATCCAGAGGTGGCCTACAGCTTCTTGCACATGCTCGGCCAGTTGCTGAAGCAGAAAGGAGACCTGGAAAAAGCCGAGGAGCACCTGAAGGAGGCACTGAGGATGAATATGTCCATCTATGGTGGCGCCGACCACGCGAACGCAGCCACTCTGCATGAGCTGGGCGTGTTGATGAACCAGAAAGGAGACCTGGAGCAAGGTGAGGAGCACCTGAAGGAGGCGCTGAGGATGAAGAAGTCCGTCCATGGTGATGCCGACCATGCGACCGTTGCGTTGACTTTGCATGAGCTGGGCATGTTGCTGAAGCAGAAAGGAGACCTGGAACAAGCCGAGGAGCACCTGAAGGAGGCACTGAGGATGATGAAGTCCGTCTATGGTGGTGCCGACAATGAGTCAGTAGCTGTCACGTTGCATGAGCTGGGCGTGTTGCTGAAGCAGAAAGGAGACCTGGAACAAGCCCAGGAGCACCTGAAGGAGGCGCTGAGGATGATAAAGTCCGTCTATGGTGATGCCGACCATGTAGAGGTTGCGGTCACTTTGCACGAGCTGGGCGTGTTGCTGAAGGAGAAAGGAGACCTGGAACAAGCCGAGGAGCACCTGAAGGAGGCACTGAGGATGATGAAGTCCGTCTATGGTGGTGCCAACAATGAGTCAGTAGCAGTCACGTTGCATGTGCTGGGCGTGTTGCTGAAGCAGAAAGGAGACCTGGAGCAAGGTGAGGAGCACCTGAAGGAGGCACTGAGGATGAAGAAGTCCGTCCATGGTGATGCCGACCATGTGAGCGTTGCAGTCACCTTGCATGAGCTGGGCATGTTGCTGGAGCAGAAAGGAGACCTGGATCAAGCCGAGAAACACCTGAAGGAGGCGCTGAGGATGATGACAGCCGTCTATGGTGGTGCCGACAATGAGTCAGTAGCAGTCACGTTGCATGAGCTGGGCATGTTGCTGAAGCAGAAAGGAGACCTGGAGCAAGCCGAGCAGCACCTGAAGGAGGCGCTGAGGATGAAGAGGTCCGGCTATGATGGTGCCGACCAGGTAGAGGTTGCGGTCACTTTGCACGAGCTGGGCGTGTTGCTGAAGGAGAAAGGAGACCTGGAACAAGCCGAGGAGCACCTGAAGGAGGCACTGAGGATGATGAAGTCCGTCTATGGTGGTGCCAACAATGAGTCAGTAGCAGTCACGTTGCATGTGCTGGGCGTGTTGCTGAAGCAGAAAGGAGACCTGGAGCAAGGTGAGGAGCACCTGAAGGAGGCACTGAGGATGAAGAAGTCCGTCCATGGTGATGCCGACCATGTGAGCGTTGCAGTCACCTTGCATGAGCTGGGCATGTTGCTGAAGCATAAAGGACACCTGGACCAAGGCGAGGAGCACCTGAAGGAGGCACTGAGGATGAAGAAGTCCGTCTATGGTGGTGCCGACAATGAGTCAGTCGCAGTCACTTTGCATGAGCTGGGCATGTTGCTGAAGCAGAAAGGAGACCTGGAGCAAGGCGAGGAGCACCTGAAGGAGGCGCTGAGGATGATGAAGTCCGTCTATGGTGGTGCCGACCATCCGACCGTTGCCGTGACTTTGCATGAGCTGGGCACGTTGATGAACCAGAAAGGAGACCTGGAGCCAGGTGAGGAGCACCTGAAGGAGGCACTGAGGATGAAGAAGTCCGTCCATGGTGATGCCGACCATGCGACCGTTGCCGTGACTTTGCATGAGCTGGGCACGTTGATGAACCAAAAAGGAGACCTGGAGCCAGGTGAGGGGCACCTGAAGGAGGCACTGAGGATGAAGAAGTCCGTCCATGGTGATGCCGACCATGCGACCGTTGCGTTGACTTTGCATGAGCTGGGCATGTTGCTGAAGGAGAAAGGAGACCTGGAGCCAGGTGAGGAGCACCTGAAGGAGGCACTGAGGATGAAGAAGTCCGTCCATGCTGATGCCGACCATGCGACCGTTGCGGCGACTTTGCATGAGCTGGGCATGTTGCTGAAGCAGAAAGGACACCTGGAGCAAGCCGAGGAGCACCTCAAGGAGGCACTGAGGATGATGAAGTCCGTCTATGGTGGTGCCGACAATGAGTCAGTAGCTGTCACGTTGCATGAGCTGGGCGTGTTGCTGAAGCAGAAAGGAGACCTGGAACAAGCCGAGGAGCACCTCAAGGAGGCACTGAGGATGATGAAGTCCGTCTATGGTGGTGCCGACAATGAGTCAGTAGCAGTCACGTTGCATGAGCTGGGCGTGTTGCTGAAGCAGAAAGGAGACCTGGAACAAGCCCAGGAGCACCTGAAGGAGGCACTGAGGATGAAGAAGTCCGTCTATGGTGGTGCCGACAATGAGTCAGTAGCAGTCACGTTGCATGAGCTGGGCGTGTTGCTGAAGCAGAAAGGAGACCTGGAACAAGCCGAGGAGTACCTGAAGGAGGCACTGAGGATGAAGAAGTCCGTCCATGGTGATGCCGACCATGTGAGCGTTGCAGTCACCTTGCATGAGCTGGGCATGTTGCTGGAGCAGAAAGGAGACCTGGAGCAAGCCGAGGAGCACCTGAAGGAGGCACTGAGGATGAAGAAGTCCGTCCATGCTAATGCGACGGTGACTTTGCATGAGCTGGGCATGTTGCTGAAGCAGAAAGGAGACCTGGAGCAAGCCGAGAAACACCTGAAGGAGGCGCTGAGGATGATGAAGTCCGTCTATGGTGGTGCCGACAATGAGTCAGTAGCAGTCACGTTGCATGAGCTGGGCGTGTTGCTGAAGCACAAAGGAGACCTGGAGCAAGGTGAGGAGCACCTGAAGGAGGCACTGAGGATGAAGAAGTCCGTCCATGGTGATGCCGACCATGCGACCGTTGCGGTGACTTTGCATGAGCTGGGCAAGTTCATGAAGCAGAAAAGAGATCTGGAACAAGCCGAGGAGTGCTTCAAGGAGGCGCTGAGGATAAAGAAGAAGACCCTCCATGCTGGTGCCGACCATGCGAACGTTGCGGTGACTTTGCATGAGCTGGGCATGTTGCTGAAGCAGAAAGGAGACCTGGAACAAGCCGAGGAGCACCTGAAGGAGGCACTGAGGATGAAGAAGTCCGTGCATGCTGATGCCGACCATGCGACCGTTGCGGTGACTTTGCATGAGCTGGGCACGTTCATGAAGCAGAAAAGAGATCTGGAACAAGCCGAGGAGCACCTGAAGGAGGCACTGAGGATGAAGAAGTCCGTCCATGCTGATGCCGACCATGCGACCGTTGCGTTGACTTTGCATGAGCTGGGCATGTTGCTGAAGCATAAAGGACACCTGGACCAATGCGAGGAGCACCTGAAGGAGGCACTGAGGATGAAGAAGTCCGTCTATGGTGGTGCCGACAATGAGTCAGTCGCAGTCACTTTGCATCAGCTGGGCATGTTGCTGAAGCAGAAAGGAGACCTGGAGCAAGCCGAGAAACACCTGAAGGAGGCGCTGAGGATGATGAAGTCCGTCTATGGTGGTGCCGACAATGAGTCAGTAGCAGTCACGTTGCATGAGCTGGGCGTGTTGCTGAAGCAGAAAGGAGACCTGGAACAAGCCCAGGAGCACCTGAAGGAGGCACTGAGGATGAAGAAGTCCGTCTATGGTGGCGCCGACCATGAGTCAGTCGCAGTGACCTTGCATGAGCTGGGCATGTTGCAGAAGCAGAAAGGAGACCTGGAACAAGCCGAGGAGCACCTGAAGGAGGCACTGAGGATGAAGAAGTCCGTCCATGCTGATGCCGACCATGCGACCGTTGCGGTGACTTTGCATGAGCTGGGCATGTTGCTGAAGCAGAAAGGAGACCTGGAGCAAGCCGAGAAACACCTGAAGGAGGCGCTGAGGATGATGACAGCCGTCTATGATGGTGCCGACCATGCAGGGGTTGCAGTCACTTTGCATCAGCTGGGCATGTTGCTGAAGCAGAAAGGAGACCTGGAGCAAGCCGAGAAACACCTGAAGGAGGCGCTGAGGATGATGACAGCCGTCTATGGTGGCGCCGACCATGAGTCAGTCGCAGTCACCTTGCATGAGCTGGGCATGTTGCAGAAGCAGAAAGGAGACTTGGAGCAAGCCGAGGAGCACTTGAAGGGGGCACTGGGGATGCAGAAGTCCGTCCATGCTGATGCCGACCATGCGACCGTTGCGGTGACTTTGCATGAGCTGGGCGTGTTGCTGAAGCAGAAAGGAGACCTGGAACAAGCCGAGAAACACCTGAAGGAGGCGCTGAGGATGATGACAGCCGTCTATGATGGTGCCGACCATGCAGGGGTTGCAGCCACTTTGCATGAGCTGTGCATGCTGCTGAAGCAGAAAGCAAGCCGAGGAGCACTTGAAGGAGGCACTGAGGATTAAGAATCCGTCTATGCCGGTTCTAACCATGTGCAGGTTGCAGCCACTTTGCATGATCTGGGCATGTTGCTGCAGGAGAAGGGAGACCTGCAGCAAGCTGAGCAGCATCTGAAGGAGGTGCTGAGGATGATACGTCCGTCTATGGTGGTGCCGACCATCTGAGCGTTGCAGTCACTTTGCATGAGCTGGGCGGTTGAGGCAGATATCCAGCAAAGAGGATGCGCTGAATCAGTTCTGAGTCTTTGAGACGCAGTGTCCAAGTAGAGCTGTTGCCCAAGGGTCTACTCTCAGTGTGACAGGGGCCTCGTTGCACAGCCCAGTTGGGACCTCACATCAGCGCCTGAGCAGTTTCGCAGGGTTGGGCGCTGAAGCATATGTGCGAGTCACGCAAAACAAGCGGTTTCTTCTTTTGGATGGTTTGAAGGAACGCCACAGGTCAAACCTGCATTTGTTCTATTGTGTTTTCTTTTTTTGCAAACCAGCAAACCACAGGTCAATCCTGCATTGCGTCTTTTGAATCTGAGACGCACCTGTTGGTTTGACATGACCCGTTTCCCGACGCGAAAAGGGCTCTGCTTTTTGCAGTGGGTCCTTAAGACCAGCTCTTTGTTTCTACAAAGGCATTTTCCAACTTTGGAAGGATTCCATGGCCCTCTATCTTTGGGGGTACGAAATCAAAAACAAACGATCAAAGGACTGTTTCTTCGCAGGTTGCCAGGTCCGGCCACGTCGTTTTAGCAGGTCGTTTTTCCGGCTTCGCACGCCGCAGGAAACGAGCTGAAACCCAGTTGCAGAGGTGCGAACGTGGATGACCGTTGCGGGTGAAAACGGGAGGGGAGAAATCAGGTTAGTGTTGACCCTGGAATCAACCTGGGTAAGGGTCAAAATTCAACCACGGGGGACCGCAGCCACCTGGCGGATTCGTTTTGGAGGAAGGATTTGGATTCCCTCTAAGGTGGCACACGCAATGAACATTAACCATGGTTTTACTACTCCTGGGCTAACATTTATCATGTAGCAACACCCAACCATGTCTTGAGCGAGTTCCTTGTGAACCTCCATGGTCAATCCTCTCTTGCTACCGGCAAAACCCACAATCTCTCGTTTTGTAGGTTTCATGTGCTATCAAGTTTCCAAATAATCGAAGGAAGGTATGTTACATCTTATTTGAAGAATACCACATTTCACACCCTCATTTGGTTTGCCGAATCTTGGCTGAAGACTCATGTTCATGTAGCTATGAGTGTTCATATTAAATATGTATCTTAACAGGGAAGAACCTCAAATAGTGGTTGATGGATATAAATCCCCCACCTCAGTTTGGGACGTCCACCAGTTTGGGCTCCCTAGTTAAATCCATCCAGGTTGGGCTGTTGACAACAGTGTTCGCCTTGCGGGGTCCCACCTCAGCCGCAGTGGAAACTCCCTGGATAGCCAAGTTTCGTTTTCGCTTTTTCCGTCACTGTTGTTGGCTTTTGGGGTTTTGAGTGCATGGATATTGGGGTTTTGAGTGCATGGATATTGGGGTTTTGAGTGCATGGATATTGGGGTTTTGGGTGCATGGAAAACAGCGATCGCAACTTGAGATCCAGGTAGGATCCAGCGATTGGTTTTTGGGGGTTTTGAGTGCATGAAAAAAAAACACCAAAAAGAAGCGCCACTGGCGATCCAGGCGCAAAACTGTTTCTTTTTTGCTCTCAGAGGCTCCTGGCTCGGCTCCGGCTTATGGAAGACCCTCGACCCCTCGACCCCTCCATTGGAAACCCCGGAGGTGTTTGGGGCCTCAAATCCTGGCTCTACACACCTTCACAGCAAGTCAACACCGTTTTGGGATCCCATTTTGGTTGGTAGGTGAATTCACCACCCAGTTTAGAACCGGGATTTTAGTGGGGATTGGGATGTTCACTGGGGGTACGGGGTTTTGACCCACGGCCGTATGAGCATTCTTTGGGTCACAGGGCATACGGCAACTAATACTCCAACGACCACATGAGTCACAATCAAAACCCGGGTAAGTGAAGAGTAAGAGACAATCCCAACCATAAATAGCTGCGGATATCCGCCTTCTTAATTGTTGAAGCATGGCTCTGGGTCGACCATTTCAATACCCGGTTTGGATGACTCACATGCAGCCGAATTCCAACATATGGGCCAACAAACAAACCAACGACAGCGGTCCGGCCATGGCCCGGGCCAAGTAGCTTGCGAATGGCAGGGACCGGCAGGGACTGAGGGAATGAACCTGGGGATTCCCGAAGAAAGGAAGCCAACTTGGGCATGGTCGTTTTTTCTTGGGGTCCGACTCGTTCCAGCAATGGGGAACGAAGTGGTTGACCCTTCTCCATCTGCAAAAGGGATGACGATCGCTGGCTCATTCCCTCCGAGCAAGAGAAGGTCAAAGGCAAGGGCCCCGAGCCGCGCGCGAGGCATGCGGCCCAAAGGGGCAGATGCTGCTCAGAGCCATGCGGATCGGCGCAAAACGTGCCAGCGGGGATGGGCGAAATGCGATTTGAGTCACAATCAGTCAATTATCACGATGACATTTATGGCCCAGAGGTACATGAGGTAGGTTCTCATGTAGTCAGTTGCATGTTGTACATTCAAGTGGTTGCCAAAGCATGATCCAATCACTGCTTTGGCTCAAGTGCTGAAATCAGCGCGTTGCACCGCGCTAGCCCCAAGGTTAAGGGAGAGGTCGCAGTCACGGAGGGGTTCGTTCCTTTTAAGGTCCCGGGTTCCCCCGTTGTTGACAAAACTGTGTTTCCCTCTCCTTTGAGTGGTTATCAGCCGTAACGCTTTTCGGGTAAACAAACCCTTCCGTGACTGCGACCTGTTGGTCGCACATGGAAGTCGGCCCTCACCGCGGCACACGCGGTGGGAAAGGGCCGCGTGCCCGATTGTACAACACTCTGCAACAGATCGTCGTCGACGAGTACAAGCGGCAGAACAGACGATTCCGGTGGATCAGGTTTGCGGACGCCTCGAAGCAACAGGTCGAGGCGCTCTTCTCCTGGCGTGAGTCACTGGATAGTTGGCACCTGTGGAATTTTGACCAAGAAGCCTTCGACGTGATCCAGGCCGCGGACAACGCTTATCAGCAGCGTCTCGCATTGGTTGAAACCACAGGAGTGGTATTGCCGCAGGGTGCGCCATCTCAGGATCAAGCCGCAGCCTCAGGCGCGGCGGGAGCATCAAGCAGTGCAGCGGACTGGCTTCGTCCTCCGACGCCTCCATCAGCTTCCTCCTGGTTGCAAGATTCGCGCACTCCTTTGCCTCGCATTCGGCCATCTGCAGAGGAAAGACAAGCCGCAAAGTCAACTCTTCGCGGGGTATACGCTAAAGCTGCGGAAACGCGGCGGGAGAGCAGCAGGGAGCGATCAACACAAAGATCGAGGTCCCCATCGCCAAGAAGGTCGAGGTCTCCATCAACATCACCGAGACAAGGACCAACTGCTGCTGCCCCTGTGGAACCACGGGCCCATAGTGTTGAACCCGCGCTTGCGCGGGAGGGAAGGCCATCCAGAACTTCCCTAGCCACTCGGCCCATTGTTTTGGCTCCACAGAATAGCATTTACCCTGTGACGAGGTTTGACGAACACGGTACCTGGGTATTGGTGCGGGAGGCATCACAACCACGTGAAGCGGCTCCTCGTCGGCGAGCGCAACGGACGTCTGGGCAGCTTCGCCAAGCCGATCCTTACCTCCTCGCTGACGAGACGTGGAGGGACCCGCCAAGGAGGTCCTCCACGAGCTCACGCTCACGGTCTCCTGACCGCCGCCCGGCGCCTGCGGAGCACTTCCGCCTCGACGCCTACAGCTCGGACGAGGACCCACCGCAAGACGTGGAGTCCATCAGGACGGGCAGGTCAGCATACGTGCCTCGGCGCGTTTACGAGGCGCCGACTCACTCCGAGCCCATCGCGCTTCACAGCCGAAGAATCGGGGCAGTTCAACCGCCGCCCCCAAAGGCCGCTCCCAAGGTCATCTTCGGCAGCAAGCCACCGTTGCCCAAGGAGGTCCCCAAGGCAGTTTCTCCAGCGCCTGCAAAGGCAGACATCCCGAGGAAGTCACCGCCAAGGGCCAGATCTCCGGTTCGGACTCAGAGTGCATTCGGTTACAAGGCACCTCCGCGAGGCTTGAACAAGGCCGAACCCAGAAGCAAATCGAGCTCAAACCCGCCACAATTCGGGTACATCGTCAAGCCGCCACCTCCGCAGGTCGTTCAAGCAGCTGCTGCTAGCGCTGCAACTCCCGAAGCTGGCACGCGATTCCGCTCGCCACCAAGGAGGGCACCGCCTGCGCCCCCGCCGCCACCACCTCCGCCTGGAAGGCCGGTGCCGCCCAAGGAGCTTGTTGTTGCTCTTGACTGGCACGGAGTTCTTGACGTTGGGCAGCAGGGACCCCACCTCAACCCGGAAGTGATCCGACATATCGTTCAGTTTGCCGCGGACTACGCACCTATAAATTTTATAGTGCTATCCTTCGTGGGCAGGGCTGCAAGCGAGTATCGCCGCCGCGAGTTCCAGGTCGCCCTGGAGCACGCGCGGACAACATCTGGACTCACTTTTTCTGCGATAAAAATCGTTCACGAACGGTTGGGAAGGGGAGGCAAAGCAGACGCCCTGCAAGGGCTGGGCGTACACGCCCTTATTGACGATACAGCATCGATTGTCCGTGAAGCTCAAAAGACAGGCATCGCGGCGTTCCGCAACTTTCCGCACTTCGGTCCGAGCGGATTTGCCAACGCGCTTGAGAACCTTGGTGAGTTCATCGAGTCCCGGAACAGACAATCCATTCCGGCGGCAAGGGGCCTGTATCCATCGCAGTACCTCGAGGAGATCCACCGATCTGCATCCCAGCTGCCCGCCAGCCGGGTACTTCGATAGCCATTGCTGCAAGCCGTTAAAACGGCGGCAAGGGGCCTGCTTCCATCGCAGTACCTCGAGGAGATCCACCGATCTGCATCCCAGCTGCCCGCCAGCCGGGTACTTCGATAGCCATTG